GAACATATGGTACTGGTGTTGTAGTAAACATATGGTACTGGTGTTGTAGTGAACATATGGTACTGGTGTTGTAGTGAACATATGGCACTTGTGTTGTAGTGAACATATGGTACTTAGGTTGTAGTAAATATATGGTACTCGTGTTGTAGTAAAGATATGGTTCTGGTGTTGTAGTAAACATATGGTACTGGTATTGTAGTAAACATATGGTACTGGTGTTGTAGTGAACATATGGTACTGGTGTTGTAGTGAACATATGGCACTTGTGTTGTAGTGAACATATGTTACTTATGTTGTAGTAAATATATGGTACTCGTGTTGTAGTAAAGATATGGTTCTGGTGTTGTAGTAAACATATGGTACTGGTGTTGTAGTAAACATATGGTACTGGTGTTGTAGTAAACTTATGTAACTGGTGATGTAATTAAACATATGTCAAGTCGAACAACATTGAGCGGTTTTTACATTACGTGCATAAATAACCGGCTGGTAAATGATTCCAATGACCCATGAATCAGTCCTAACTGGCGGTGCCATTATCTACATATTACTTATCTAACTATCTAACATACTTGAACCATTGCAAGTGTGAAGCAAAGTATCCAATTACCACATATGAGCAATCTATTAAGTATTTTCATAATTGTATCTACTACTCTGGAGAGAGAGTTGCATCATACTGGCACTGGATAAGACTTCAAACATCTGCAGGATGTTTTAAATCCCCCGAGCAACCTTTTTACCCTCTTCAGGTCATTGAATAATTAATGTTCATAATTATTCATCCATAGTTATAAGTTATTAATTACTTACTCTACATTAAACAGTATGTAAATTATACTGGTTACATGTGTGTGTGTGGGGGGGGGGGTGGGATGTGTAGATAGATAAATAGATAGAACGAAATACTACATATATATCTATATTTATATATAAAAGAGAAAAATATTAACCATTCTATCACATCGGGGGGTTACCGAATAACCATTGGAGGATTAAATCTTCAATGTAGCGTTTGGCCTCCTCTACCCGCTATATGTCTGTACTGGTGATACTGACATGGTTTTTATTGGTGTTGAGTCCCAGCAACACTCCGTATTTTTGGCCTATTTGTTTAATATATGCCCCAGACCTATGAATGTCTACAGAAATTTTTGGGCATTTTAACGCTCTTCGTAATTTGATTTGGCTGACTGCTGTTTCAAGGACGGCTGGTGATCTTCGTTCCGCTGTGGCTGGTGACCCAGGTTCCACAGGCTGGTGACCCGGTTCCGCTGTGGCTAGGGAGCAAGCGAGTGACCATTGAGGATTAAGCCTTCAATGTAAAGGTCGGCCTCCTACCCGCTATATGTCTGTACTGGTGATACTGATATGGTTTTTATTGGTGTTGAGTCCCAGCAACACTCCGTATTTTTGGCCTATTTGTTTAATATGGGCGCCCTTGTGACCTATGAATGTGCCGTGAAATTTTTTGGGTATTTTAACGCTCCTCGTGATTTGATTTTGGCTGGACTGCTGTTTCGCTACGGCTGGTGATTCCGGTTCCACTGTGGTTGGTGATTCCAGTTCCGCTGCGGCTGGTGATTTCGGTTCCGCTTCGGCTGGTGAATCTGGTTCCGCTGCAGCTGGTGACTCCGGTTCCGCTGCGTTTGGTGACTCTGGTTCCGCTGCGGCTTGTGACCCTGGTTCCGCTTCGGCTGGTGACTACAGTTCCGCTACGGCTGGTGACTGCGGCTCCGCTTCGGCTGGTGACTCCGGTTCTGCATCGGTTGGTGATTCTGGTTCTGCATCGGTTGGTGACTCTGGTTCTGCTGCGGCTGGTGACTCTGGTTCTGTTGCAGCTGGTGACTCCGTTTCCGCTGTGACTGGTGATTCCGGCTCCGCTTCGGCTGGTGACTCCGATTCTGCATCGGTTGGTGACTCTGGTTCTGCTGTGGCTAGTGACTCTAATTCCCCTAGGGTCAACTCAGCCTAGCCTGGGTTGTGGTCGTCCTCTCTAAAGCGACGACGGATTTTACAACATAAATACACACAAGTACAACAAACAATAAACACTAACAGTACTGTTCCTATGATAAATGACCCAGAGGTAAAACGTGGGACGTCGCTCTCGGAGGCCTTCTTCAGCGCCTCCGTCACCCTCTTCATCTCAATTTTGATTTTTCTAGCAAGTAAAATGTCGCCCAAAAGAGGCACGTGGTCGCATAAACCTGGTTTGGGCTTTTATAGGGTTGGGAGCTCACCTATCCCAGGGCTAATAAGTTTTAGTCCCCTTAAAATTCTGTAGTAGAGGCTCACTCTTTATTTTTGTTGTTGAATTTTAATTTCGTCTAGCCGTTCTTTCAAATTTTTAAATTCATTTTCAACTGTAGACCTGTATTGGTAAACTACCATGTAGGTAGTGAGAGCTACAATTGCCACCAGTATATTTTTGCTATTAATTTTGGCCATTCCGTTTATCAGACCTATTTGTCTTTCTCTGGGTCACGCTACACATAACCCCAAATGGTGTTAACTTAGACAAGAATCTAGTTAGCTCAGATACAGTCTACCAGTAATATGAACTAGTAATTTAAGCGCTGTAGGGAACATATGGTACTGGTGTTGAAGTAAACATATAGTACTGGTGTTGTAGTGAACATATGGTACTGGTGTTGTAGTAAACATATGGTACTGGTGTTGTAATAAACATATGGTACTGGTGTTGTAGTAAACATATGGTACTGGTGTTGCAGTAAACATATGGTACTGGTGTTGTAGTGAACATATGGTACTGGTGTTGTAGTAAACATATGGTACTGGTGTTGTAGTGAACATATGGTACTGGTGTTGTAGTGAACATATGGCACTTGTGTTGTAGTGAACATATGGTACTTATGTTGTAGTAAACATATGGTACTGGTGTTGCAGTAAACATATGGTACTGGTGTTGTAGTAAACATATGGTACTGGTGATGTAGTGAACATATGGCACTTGTGTTGTAGTGATCATATGGTACTGGTGTTGTAGTAAACATATGGTACTGGTGTTGTAATAAACATATGGTACTGGTGTTGTAGTAAACATATGGTACTGGTGTTGCAGTAAACATATGGTACTGGTGTTGTAGTAAACATATGGTACTGGTGATGTAGTGAACATATGGCAGTTGTGTTGTAGTGAACATATGGTACTGGTGTTGTAGTAAACATATGGTACTGGTGTTGTAGTGAACATATGGTACTGGTGTTGTAGTGAACATATGGCACTTGTGTTGTAGTGAACATATGGTACTTATGTTGTAGTAAATATATGGTACTCGTGTTGTAGTAAAGATATGGTTCTGGTGTTGTAGTAAACATATGGTACTGGTGTTGTAGTAAACATATGGTACTGGTGTTGTAGTGAACATATGGTACTGGTGTTGTAGTGAACATATGGCACTTGTGTTGTAGTGAACATATGGTACTTATGTTGTAGTAAATATATGGTACTCATGTTGTAGTAAAGATATGGTTCTGGTGTTGTAGTAAACATATGGTACTGGTGTTGTAGTAAACATATGGTACTGGTGTTGTAGTAAACATATGGTACTGGTGTTGTAGTAAACTTATGTTACTGGTGATGTAATTAAACATATGTCAAGTCGAACAACATTGAGCGGTTTTTACATTACGTGCATAAATAACCGGCTGGTAAATGATTCCAATGACCCATGAATCAGTCCTAACTGGCGGTGCCATTATCTACATATTACTTATCTAACTATCTAACATATTTGAACCATTGCAAGTGTGAAGCAAAGTATCCAATTACCACATATGAGCAATCTATTAAGTATTTCAAGAATTACCTACTACCTGGAGAGAGAGTTGCATCATACTTCGGCAACTGGATAAGACTAAACATCTGCAGGATGTTTTAGTCCCCTGAGCAACCTTTACCCTCTTCAGGTCATTGAATAATTAATGTTCATAATTATACATCCATAGTTATAAGTTATTAATTACTTACTCTACATTAAACAGTATGTAAATTATACTGGTTACATGTGTGTGTGTGGGGGAGGGGGGGTGGGATGTGTAGATAGATAAATAGATAGAACGAAATACTACATATATATCTATATTTATATATAAAAGAGAAAAATATTAACCATTCTATCACATCGGGGGGTTACCGAATAACCATTGGAGGATTAAATCTTCAATGTAGCGTTTGGCCTCCTCTACCCGCTATATGTCTGTACTGGTGATACTGACATGGTTTTTATTGGTGTTGAGTCCCAGCAACACTCCGTATTTTTGGCCTATTTGTTTAATATGGGCGCCCTTGTGACCTATGAATGCTCCGTGAAATTTTTTGGATATTTTAACGCTCTTCGTAATTTGATTTTGGCTGGACTGCTGTTTCGCGACGGCTGGTGATTCCCGTTCCGCTGTGGCTGGTGACCCAGGTTCCGCTGCGGCTGGTGACTCCGGTTCCGCTGTGGCTAGGGAGTAAGCGAGTGACCATTGGAGGATTAAGTCTTCAATGTAGCGTTTGGCCTCCTCTACCCGCTATATGTCTGTACTGGTGATACTGATATTATTTTTATAGGTGTTGAGTTTCAGCAACACTCCGTATTTTTGGCCTATTTGTTTAATATGGGCGCCCTTGTGACCAATGAATGTGCCGTGAAATTTTTTGGGTATTTTAACGCTCCTCGTGATTTGATTTTGGCTGGACTGCTGTTTCGCTACGGCTGGTGATTCCGGTTCCACTGTGGTTGGTGATTCCAGTTCCGCTGCGGCTGGTGATTTCGGTTCCGCTTCGGCTGGTGAATCTGGTTCCGCTGCAGCTGGTGACTCCGGTTCCGCTGCGTTTGGTGACTCTGGTTCCGCTGCGGCTTGTGACCCTGGTTCCGCTTCGGCTGGTGACTACAGTTCCGCTACGGCTGGCACTGCGTTCCGCTTCGGCTGGTGACCTCGGTTCTGCATCGGTTGGTGATTCGGTTCTGCACGGCTGGTGACTCTGGCTCCCTGCTGCGGTTGGTGACTCTGGTTCTGCTGTTGCAGCTGGAGACCTGTTTCCGCCAGACTGGTGATTCCGGCCCGCTGGCTGGTGACCGATTCTGCATCGGTTGGTGACTCTGGCGTTCTGCTGTGGCTAGTGACCCTAATTCCCCCAGGGTCGACTCAGCCTGCCTGGTTGTGGTCGTCCCCAGCGACGACGGATTTGGCTACAACATAACACAATACCGCACAACAAACAATAAACACTAACAGTACCGTTCCTATGATAAATGACCCAGAGGTAAAACGTGGGACGTCGCTCTCGGAGGCCTTCTTCAGCGCCTCCGTCACCCTCTTCATCTCAATTTCGATTTTTCTAGCAAGTAAAATGTCGCCCAAAAGAGGCACGTGGTCGCATAAACCTGGTTTGGGCTTTTATAGGGTTGGGAGCTCACCTATCCCAGGGCTAATAAGTTTTAGTCCCCTTAAAATTCTGTAGTAGAGGCTCACTCTGTATTTTTGTTGAATTTTAATTTCGTCTAGCCGTTCTTTCAAATTTTTAAATTCATTTTCAACTGTAGACCTGTATTGGTAAACTACCATGTAGGTAGTGAGAGCTACAATTGCCACCAGTATATTTTTGCTATTAATTTTGGCCATTCCGTTTATCAGACCTATTTGTCTTTCTCTGGGTCACGCTACACATAACCCCAAATGGTGTTAACTTAGACAAGAATCTAGTTAGCTCAGATACAGTCTACCAGTAATATGAACTAGTAATTTAAGCGCTGTAGGGAACATATGGTACTGGTGTTGAAGTAAACATATAGTACTGGTGTTGTAGTGAACATATGGTACTGGTGTTGTAGTAAACATATGGTACTGGTGTTGTAATAAACATATGGTACTGGTGTTGTAGTAAACATATGGTACTGGTGTTGCAGTAAACATATGGTACTGGTGTTGTAGTGAACATATGGTACTGGTGTTGTAGTAAACATATGGTACTGGTGTTGTAGTGAACATATGGTACTGGTGTTGTAGTGAACATATGGCACTTGTGTTGTAGTGAACATATGGTACTTATGTTGTAGTAAACATATGGTACTGGTGTTGCAGTAAACATATGGTACTGGTGTTGTAGTAAACATATGGTACTGTGGGTGATAGAGAACATATGGCACTTGTGTTGTAGTGATCATAAGTGAAAATTGGTGTTGTAGTAAACATATGGTGCCGCTGTGTTAATAAAACATATGGGTACTGGTGTTGTAGTAAACATATGGTACTGAAAGCTGCAGTAAACATATGGTACTGGTGTTGTAGTAAACATATGGTACTGGTGTTGTAGTGAACATATGGCAGTGGTGTTGTAGTGAACATATGGTACTGGTGTTGTAGTAAACATATGGTACTGGTGTTGTAGTGAACATATGGTACTGGTGTTGTAGTGAACATATGGCACTTGTGTTGTAGTGAACATATGGTACTGGTGTTGCAGTAAACATATGGTACTGGTGTTGTAGTAAACATATGGTACTGGTGATGTAGTGAACATATGGCACTGGTGTTGTAGTAAACATATGGTACTGGTGTTGTAGTGAACATATGGTACTGGTGTTGTAGTGAACATATGGCATTTGTGTTGTAGTGAACATATGGTACTTATGTTGTAGTAAATATATGGTACTCGTGTTGTAGTAAAGATATGGTTCTGGTGTTGTAGTAAACATATGGTACTGGTGTTGTAGTAAACATATGGTACTGGTGTTGTAGTAAACATATGGTACTGGTGTTGTAGTAAACTTATGTTACTGGTGATGTAATTAAACATATGTCAAGTCGAACAACATTGAGCGGTTTTTACATTACGTGCATAAATAACCGGCTCGTAAATGATTCCAATGACCCATGAATCAGTCCTAACTGGCGGTGCCATTATCTACATATTACTTATCTAACTATCTAACATACTTGAACCATTGCAAGTGTGAAGCAAAGTATCCAATTACCACATATGAGCAATCTATTAAGTATTTCAAGAATTACCTACTACCTGGAGAGAGAGTTGCATCATACTTCGGCAACTGGATAAGACTAAACATCTGCAGGATGTTTTAGTCCCCTGAGCAACCTTTACCCTCTTCAGGTCATTGAATAATTAATGTTCATAATTATACATCCATAGTTATAAGTTATTAATTACTTACTCTACATTAAACAGTATGTAAATTATACTGGTTACATGTGTGTGTGTGTGGGGGGGGGGGGGTGGGATGTGTAGATAGATAAATAGATAGAACGAAATACTACATATATATCTATATTTATATATAAAAGAGAAAAATATTAACCATTCTATCACATCGGGGGTTTACCGAATAACCATTGGAGGATTAAATCTTCAATGTAGCGTTTGGCCTCCTCTACCCGCTATATGTCTGTACTGGTGATACTGACATGGTTTTTATTGGTGTTGAGTCCCAGCAACACTCCGAATTTTTGGCCTATTTGTTTAATATGGGCGCCCTTGTGACCTATGAATGCTCCGTGAAATTTTTTGGGTATTTTAACGCTCTTCGTGATTTGATTTTGGCTGGACTGCTGTTTCGCGACGGCTGGTGATTCCCGTTCCGCTGTGGCTGGTGACCCAGGTTCCGCTGCGGCTGGTGACTCCGGTTCCGCTGTGGCTAGGGAGTAAGCGAGTGACCATTGGAGGATTAAGTCTTCAATGTAGCGTTTGGCCTCCTCTACCCGCTATATGTCTGTACTGGTGATACTGATATTATTTTTATAGGTGTTGAGTTTCAGCAACACTCCGTATTTTTGGCCTATTTGTTTGCTTATGTCTCTTGACCAAATGAAATGTGCCGAAATGCCAAAGGTCATGAACGCTTCCTCGTGATTTGAATTGGCCGACTCAAGGTTTCACACATACAGATTCCTGGTTCCCACTCGTGGTTGGACGATTCTGCCCGCTGCGCTGGGTGATTTCGCCCGGTCACGGTGTAACCGGTTCACGCAGTTGGCACCCTGGTTCCGCTGCGTTTGAGGACTCTGGTTCTGGTTGCGGCCAGACTCTGGTTCCGCTTCGGCTGGTGACTCCAGTTCCGCTACGGCTGGTGACTGCGGTTCCGCTTCGGCTGGTGACTCCGGTTCTGCATCGGTTGGTGATTCTGGTTCTGCATCGGTTGGTGACTCTGGTTCTGCTGCGGCTGGTGACTCTGGTTCTGTTGCAGCTGGTGACTCCGTTTCCGCTGTGACTGGTGATTCCGGCTCCGCTTCGGCTGGTGACTCCGATTCTGCATCGGTTGGTGACTCTGGTTCTGCTGTGGCTAGTGACTCTAATTCTCCTAGGGTCGACTCAGCCTAGCCTGGGTTGTGGTCGTCCTCTCTAAAGCGACGACGGATTTTACAACATAAATACACACAAGTACAACAAACAATAAACACTAACAGTACCGTTCTCGATAAATGACTCAGAGGTAAAACGGGACGTCGCCTCGGAGGCTCTCTGCCTCATCTCAATTTGACTTTCAAAGTAAAATGTCGCCCAAAAGAGTATCGGTCGCGAACCTGCTCTGGCTTATAGGCTGGGAGCCCACCTCTATCCCAGGGCTATTGCTTAGTCCCTCAAAATTTACAATTTCATCCATCGTTCTTCAAATTTTAAATTCATTTTCAACTGCTGAGCCTGAATTGGTAAACTACCATGTAGGTAGTAGAAACTACCAATTGCCACCAGTATTATGTTTTTGCTATTAATTTTGGCCATTCCGTTTATCAGACCTATTTGTCTTTCTCTGGGTCACGCTACACATAACCCCAAATGGTGTTAACTTAGACAAGAATCTAGTTAGCTCAGATACAGTCTACCAGTAATATGAACTAGTAATTTAAGCGCTGTAGGGAACATATGGTACTGGTGTTGAAGTAAACATATAGTACTGGTGTTGTAGTGAACATATGGTACTGGTGTTGTAGTAAACATATGGTACTGGTGTTGTATTAAACATATGGTACTGGTGTTGTAGTAAACATATGGTACTGGTGTTGCAGTAAACATATGGTACTGGTGTTGTAGTGAACATATGGTACTGGTGTTGTAGTAAACATATGGTACTGGTGTTGTAGTGAACATATGGTACTGGTGTTGTAGTGAACATATGGCACTTGTGTTGTAGTGAACATATGGTACTTATGTTGTAGTAAACATATGGTACTGGTGTTGCAGTAAACATATGGTACTGGTGTTGTAGTAAACATATGGTACTGGTGATGTAGTGAACATATGGCACTTGTGTTGTAGTGATCATATGGTACTGGTGTTGTAGTAAACATATGGTACTGGTGTTGTAATAAACATATGGTACTGGTGTTGTAGTAAACATATGGTACTGGTGTTGCAGTAAACATATGGTACTGGTGTTGTAGTAAACATATGGTACTGGTGATGTAGTGAACATATGGCAGTTGTGTTGTAGTGAACATATGGTACTGGTGTTGTAGTAAACATATGGTACTGGTGTTGTAGTGAACATATGGTACTGGTGTTGTAGTGAACATATGGCACTTGTGTTGTAGTGAACATATGGTACTTATGTTGTAGTAAATATATGGTACTGGTGTTGTAGTAAAGATATGGTTCTGGTGTTGTAGTAAACATATGGTACTGGTGTTGTAGTAAACATATGGTACTGGTGTTGTAGTGAACATATGGTACTGGTGTTGTAGTGAACATATGGCACTTGTGTTGTAGTGAACATATGGTACTTATGTTGTAGTAAATATATGGTACTCGTGTTGTAGTAAAGATATGGTTCTGGTGTTGTAGTAAACATATGGTACTGGTGTTGTAGTAAACATATGGTACTGGTGTTGTAGTAAACATATGGTACTGGTGTTGTAGTAAACATATGGTACTGGTGTTGTAGTAAACTTATGTTACTGGTGATGTAATTAAACATATGTCAAGTCGAACAACATTGAGCGGTTTTTACATTACGTGCATAAATAACCGGCTGGTAAATGATTCCAATGACCCATGAATCAGTCCTAACTGGCGGTGCCATTATCTACATATTACTTATCTAACTATCTAACATACTTGAACCATTGCAAGTGTGAAGCAAAGTATCCAATTACCACATATGAGCAATCTATTAAGTATTTCAAGAATTACCTACTACCTGGAGAGAGAGTTGCATCATACTTCGGCAACTGGATAAGACTAAACATCTGCAGGATGTTTTAGTCCCCTGAGCAACCTTTACCCTCTTCAGGTCATTGAATAATTAATGTTCATAATTATACATCCATAGTTATAAGTTATTAATTACTTACTCTACATTAAACAGTATGTAAATTATACTGGTTACATGTGTGTGTGTGGGGGAGGGGGGGTGGGATGTGTAGATAGATAAATAGATAGAACGAAATACTACATATATATCTATATTTATATATAAAAGAGAAAAATATTAACCATTCTATCACATCGGGGGGTTACCGAATAACCATTGGAGGATTAAATCTTCAATGTAGCGTTTGGCCTCCTCTACCCGCTATATGTCTGTACTGGTGATACTGACATGGTTTTTATTGGTGTTGAGTCCCAGCAACACTCCGTATTTTTGGCCTATTTGTTTAATATGGGCGCCCTTGTGACCTATGAATGCTCCGTGAAATTTTTTGGGTATTTTAACGCTCTTCGTGATTTGATTTTGGCTGGACTGCTGTTTCGCGACGGCTGGTGATTCCCGTTCCGCTGTGGCTGGTGACCCAGGTTCCGCTGCGGCTGGTGACTCCGGTTCCGCTGTGGCTAGGGAGTAAGCGAGTGACCATTGGAGGATTAAGTCTTCAATGTAGCGTTTGGCCTCCTCTACCCGCTATATGTCTGTACTGGTGATACTGATATTATTTTTATAGGTGTTGAGTTTCAGCAACACTCCGTATTTTTGGCCTATTTGTTTAATATGGGCGCCCTTGTGACCAATGAATGTGCCGTGAAATTTTTTGGGTATTTTAACGCTCCTCGTGATTTGATTTTGGCTGGACTGCTGTTTCGCTACGGCTGGTGATTCCGGTTCCACTGTGGTTGGTGATTCCAGTTCCGCTGCGGCTGGTGATTTCGGTTCCGCTTCGGCTGGTGAATCTGGTTCCGCTGCAGCTGGTGACTCCGGTTCCGCTGCGTTTGGTGACTCTGGTTCCGCTGCGGCTTGTGACCCTGGTTCCGCTTCGGCTGGTGACTCCAGTTCCGCTACGGCTGGTGACTGCGGCTCCGCTTCGGCTGGTGACTCCGGTTCTGCATCGGTTGGTGATTCTGGTTCTGCATCGGTTGGTGACTCTGGTTCTGCTGCGGCTGGTGACTCTGGTTCTGTTGCAGCTGGTGACTCCGTTTCCGCTGTGACTGGTGATTCCGGCTCCGCTTCGGCTGGTGACTCCGATTCTGCATCGGTTGGTGACTCTGGTTCTGCTGTGGCTAGTGACTCTAATTCCCCTAGGGTCGACTCAGCCTAGCCTGGGTTGTGGTCGTCCTCTCTAAAGCGACGACGGATTTTACAACATAAATACACACAAGTACAACAAACAATAAACACTAACAGTACCGTTCCTATGATAAATGACCCAGAGGTAAAACGTGGGACGTCGCTCTCGGAGGCCTTCTTCAGCGCCTCCGTCACCCTCTTCATCTCAATTTTGATTTTTCTAGCAAGTAAAATGTCGCCCAAAAGAGGCACGTGGTCGCATAAACCTGGTTTGGGCTTTTATAGGGTTGGGAGCTCACCTATCCCAGGGCTAATAAGTTTTAGTCCCCTTAAAATTCTGTAGTAGAGGCTCACTCTTTATTTTTGTTGTTGAATTTTAATTTCGTCTAGCCGTTCTTTCAAATTTTTAAATTCATTTTCAACTGTAGACCTGTATTGGTAAACTACCATGTAGGTAGTGAGAGCTACAATTGCCACCAGTATATTTTTGCTATTAATTTTGGCCATTCCGTTTATCAGACCTATTTGTCTTTCTCTGGGTCACGCTACACATAACCCCAAATGGTGTTAACTTAGACAAGAATCTAGTTAGCTCAGATACAGTCTACCAGTAATATGAACTAGTAATTTAAGCGCTGTAGGGAACATATGGTACTGGTGTTGAAGTAAACATATAGTACTGGTGTTGTAGTGAACATATGGTACTGGTGTTGTAGTAAACATATGGTACTGGTGTTGTAGTAAATATATGGTACTGGTGTTGTAGTAAACATATGGTACTGGTGTTGTAGTAAACATATGGTACTGTGTTGTAGTGAATATATGGTACTGGTGTTGTAGTAAACATATGGTCCTGGTGTTGTAGTGAACATATGGTACTGGTGTTGTAGTAAACATATGGTACTGGTGTTGTAGTAAACATATGGTACTGGTGTTGTAGTGAACATATGGTACTGGTGTTGTAGTAAACATATAGTACTGGTGTTGTAGTGAACATATGGTACTCGTGTTGTAGTAAACATATGGTACTGGTGTTGTAGTAAACATATGGTACTCGTATTGTAGTGAACATATGGTACTGGTTTTGTAGTAAGCATATGGTACTCGTGTTGTAGTAAACATATAGTACTGGTGTTGTAGTAAACATATGGTACTGTTGTTGTAGTAAACCTTATACTCGTGTTTGTAAATGCAGCTTATAATAATTTGCTAAATTGTAGTAAACTTATATAGTGCTGGTGTTGCAGTAAACTACTTATATGGTACTGTTTACTTGTAGAACATATGGTACTAGTGATATTGTAGTGAACGCATATGGTACTGGTGTTGTAATAAGCCTCTTGGTACTGATTAATTTGCAGTAAACATATTATGGTACTGTTGCTATAGAAGACATATGGTACTGTTGTTGTAGTGAACATATGGTACTGGGTGTTTATGGTAAACATATGGTACTGAATTGTTGTAGTAATCATATGGTGCTGGTATTAGTAATCATATATGGTACTGGTGATCAAATTAAACATATGGTACTGGTGTTGTAGTGTACATATGTAATTGCACTTTGAGTGTTGTATTAAACCTTATGGTACTGGTGTTGTAGTAAACTATATGGTACACTGGTGTTGTATTTGAAACACTCTTGCTGGTGTTGTAGTGAGCATATGGTACTGGTGTTGTAGTAAACATATGGTACTGATGTTGTAGTGAACATATGGTACTGGTGTTGTAGTAAACATATGGTACTGGTGTTGTAGTAAACATATGGTACCTAGTGTTGTAGCAATCATATGGTACTGGTGTTGTAGTAAACATTTGGTACTGGTGTTGTAGTGAACATATGGTACTGGTGTTGTAGCAAACATATATTACTCGTGTTGTAGTGAACATATGGTACTGGTGTTGTAGTAAACATATGGTACTGGTGTTGTGGTAAACGTATGGTACTGGTGTTGCTGTAAACATATGGTTCTGGTTTTGTAACAAACATATAGTACTGGTGTTGTCGTGAACATATGTTACTGGTGTTGTAGTAAGCATATGGTACTAGTGTTGTAGTAAACATATGGTCCTGGTGTTGTAGTGAGCATATGGTACTGGTGTTGTAGTGAGCATATGGTACTGGTGTTGTAGTAAACATGTTGTACTGGTGTTGTAGTGAGCATATGGTACTCGTGTTGTAGTAAACATATGGTACTGATGTTGTAGTAAACATATGGTACTGGTGTTGTGGTAAACATATGGTCCTGGTGTTGTAGTAAACATATGGTACTGGTGTTGTAGTAAACATATGGTCCTGGTGTTGTAGTAAACATATGGTACTGGTGTCGTAGTAAACATATGGCACTGGTGTTGTAGTAAACATATGGTCCTGGTGTTGTAGTAAACTTATGGTACTGGTGTTGTAGTGAACGTATGGTACTGGTGTTGTAGTGAGCATATAATAATAGTGTTGTAGTAAAAGTTTAATAATATTTTTTACTAGTAATGTATCGAAGTATAGCAGTACAGGAACAAGAACACAAAAACTACATTGGTCACTGATTCTGTAAGTGTGTGCACACAGGATGGTTAATGCGTCTAGGAACACAGGGTGGTTAATGCGTGTAGGCACACAGGGTGGTTAATGCGTCTAGTTTGGCAGCATTATGTTAGTGATAAGGTGCAGGGACTGCTTGCCTCCTCTCGCTTGCAACTGCCGCCGCTGGCTAGCCCTCGTGGTGAACAGAGAAGCAACCTTGCGCAAGTCTTCCCCTGCCAGTACATAGCATGGACGACAGTAGACTGCCAAAGCAGCTGCAATACAGTCACGTGACGTT